GCTTTGGGGACCCCAGCTGAGCAGCAGTGTCCCTGCAGTGAGCCACCGGCCCGGGCTGGCCGGGGGCGGCTGGGAGGAGGCAGACAGCGGGCACAGCTCCCGGGAATCCTCGCAGGGCAACGAGCGGAGCCGCACCTCGGACTCGGGCAGCAAATCCGGCAGTGACAGCCGCTCCGGGGCCAGCCGGGAGCTGAGCCATGGGGCTGACAGGTGAGAGCGGCCCGGGGGGCTCCCCTGCCCTGCGACTGTCCCAGGTGCATTCCCAGGAGCGCTGCCCTCGTTCTCCACACCGCTGACCCAGAGTGCTGCTCAGGGTGGGGGTCCCCGTCTGTCAGGGGGTGTGCAGGGACCCCAGCAGCAGGAGTCAGCCGGTGGCCCCTGTCCCCACGAGGTGTGTCCCCAGCAGGGTGGACGCTGACAGCCCAGGTGACTGCCGGAGGGAGCTGAGCCTGGTGTCGGGACTGACGCGTGGGGCCAGGGTCTTCCTCACCAGGGAGGAAGCTCAGCACTTCCTCAAGGAGTAAGTGTCAGAGGTGGCTGCTCCCTGGGGCTGGGGGCACTTCTGGGGCAACCTGAGCTCTCCCGTGGCTGCCCAGGCCCGGACTCCAGGGGTGGGAAGGAGCTGCAGGTGACTGTGACCCCCATCCCTGTGCAGGTGTGGGCTCCTGAACTGTGAGGTGGTGCTGGAGCTGCTGGGCCGAGCGCTGGAGGATCCCAGTGACAGCGTCCGCATGGTGAGCGCAGGGGGCTCCCCTGGGAGTGCTGGGGGGTGTTTGGGGGCCTCCCTGGCTCAGCCACGCTCCCCTTTCCCACAGAGGTCCATGAGTGCCATCTCTGCCCTCGGCTGCTCCGACCTGCTCTCCGCAGAGCAGATCTTTGCTGTGACCCAGCAGCACCTGCAGCACCTCAGCCAAGGCAGCCCTGGGCCTGTGGCCAACCGAGCAACGAAGGTGACTCTGGGGACATCCCTGTGCCAAATCCCCAGGGTGGGGGACAAGCTTGACAGCCCTTGGGAACACACAGCTCATGGGAATGGCTCCGTCTGTGTCCCAGCAGGGTGGGACTGGCTGCCTTTCCCAGGAGCGGGGAGCCTGGGCAGAGTGATGCTCCCTCTGAGCCACGGGAGGGGACACTGGGGACAGTCTCTCTGCCTGGGAAAAGGTGCCAGGGCCAAGCCCTTTTGCCCATGCTGCTCTCACTCTGCCCATCCCCTGTCCCAGATGCTGCGGCAGTTCGAGGCCCTGTGCCGGACCCAGCCCTCCCCGAGGCCCCCACGCCCACCCTCAGCCCCCTCGGTGGGCTCGGCCAGGGACCTGCTCATGGACA